ATAGTATAAGTATAAGTATAAGTCATGTTTAAAATGAAACTGACCGCTTTTTCAACGGGGGACGAAGGGATTGATACAAATAAAAGTTATTTGTTTTTCAAGTAAGATGAGAATGCTATTTTTGTAAGGGTTTATGAATAGAGAGCAGTGGAAGGCCGTATTTGTGGGTGGGGGGGATGAACCCCAATATACTATAGTCAATTTTCTATACCTATATTGCTGTTTTTACCCAAATTATGAAGCATAATATACATCAATGTAATATAATTACACTTAAATTCTGAAATTTTTCCAAATATATCTTTTCTTTTGAAACAATGAGCTACCTATACATTACCAGTTACCACATAAACACCAGAATGCACCTTTTCTACCATGAAAAGATTAAGAATCCATTTACGAAATTCATTATACCAAGTACGCCATATAGATCTAGCTCTTTTGAGAATACATATTATTTATAATTGTCTATTAGATAAATCCAGATGATATGCTCGATTGTTACTCAAAAGAAAACAAAGACTGATAGACTTTATGCAATAAAACTATTTTACATAAAACTGTATACATGTAATGCATACAAAACCTTATTTAGATGAATTACTATTTTATATACAAGGACTAGAACCTTACCAAAAAGAACCGGTTTTGGAACATACTAACCCGGTTATCGCTTATTTCTGACCGCGAATTTGGAAAATAGTCTGGCACAGTTTAATTTTGAATAGGAAAAATGTCTTAATATTTGTATATGTACTTGGAAACTTATAGGGAATGCTAATATTCATTGATATTTCAGTTTTTATAACGTAGAACTTAAATCCAAATTCAAAATTAATCAGAAAATGTATTATACATTATATTCTTAAGGGGCCTCGCTACGATCGTTATTTAAGGGGCAACATTTAGGCAATTTCTAACCTTCTCATAGCCACCCGGGATCTATGTTCTAGTTTTAAATGATTATTAGTGTGAGTGAAATTAAATGAGGGTATCCTCTCTCGCAGTGGCGGATACGAGGGAGTGGTGAAGGGGCGTTCACCCCCCCCCCACCTTGGGCTGTCTTTTAAACGTTATTTTCTATTATAATATTTGGCTAAGCAAAAAGACAATTTAATTTTTGAAAAATTGGGCCCCTGGATGACTTCTGGATCCGCCACTGCTCTCTTGTACGCACTTGTCAGTTAAACGATAACCATATCAATTTCACTACATGTATTTTACAAAAACTTACATTTGTTTTGATAAAATAAAAGTTAGTTAACGTTGTCTGATTTTATTCTGAAAAAATATTTGATTTCAACAGAAATATGTCTGTAGGTCGTACGAAACATTTTCCGTTTTTAATATTTATTTTTTATTTTTATTATGATTCGAACAATTTAATATTTTCAAGTTTTCAATTACAGTTCACAATTATATAAAATTTAGTTTTTACAAAGTGCTTTGTGTAGGATCTATAGACAATTTTCTGGTGAGTTCAAATATTTTTTCAGAATCAAAATCGGACAACGTTAACTAACTTTAATTTAGGTCTTTTCAGCTAAAAATGACGACAGTAGCGAGGCCCCTTAAATAATTCTCATTCTTTACATAAATATAATAGCTGTTATGACATAACATAATATTATTTACCTCACAAGTCCGTGGCGTAATTATTAGGGGGGGGGGGTATGAGGATATATCCCACACCCAGAGCCTTTGTTTTAAATACCTTTTATAATATTCTTATGAGCACGTCTTGGCTATAAAATATTTTTAAGATTTTAAAATAAAAATTAATGGACAATGGTTATTTATTATCACACTTAAAAGACGTAACTGATAAAAACGTGCAACTTAAGACTTCTCATATAATTTTTAACCATCTAAAACTTATCCTTCTTAACCTTCTTAGTATAAACACAGAATTAATTAAAACTGTTAATAATTATTAATTTTGTAAATTACACAATAACACCTGAGATTGTAATGCCCATAAAAAAACTCTAAAAATGCCCTGCATAAAATACTTTTATGTCCTGCAGTACTCAATGCACTATATTCTTATATAAATTTGTTATACCTACATGATAATATACAACTTAAAGGATGGTTTTAAAAAAGTTTTACAGATAGAACTGATTGTTTTGGACTTCTTTAATCTGGAAAAGCAATTGTTTCCATGCGTCATTATTTTTTTTTTATATAGGTTCAGATCGTATGTTTATTTACCTGCATTAGTTATAGTTTTTCAAATTTATATCAAAATCATGTAAAAGCATGTAAAAATCTTAAAATAAAATTTTAAAGTATTTAAAAATGCCTCAAAAAACCTATAATCCTCTAAAAAATAAAAATAATAACGTTAACATTTAAAATTGGTATTAAGACTACAATATTGATAGTGCATAGGGATATAATACTAAATTCTGAAGATATTTTTGACAAATAATCTCCACAATATTTCCTTATCTTTACCGGGAGTGGAACAAGAAGTTTAGTATCACTCAGTGGCGTCCGCAGGGGGCTAACAGGCTGAAGCCCCCCCCCCATTGCCCATATAATTATTACTTAAAGAAAAAATATTTATCAAGTTTCAACTGTCAACTATAGTAAGCAGACTTAAATTTCATATACGTCTTATCAGAATGAATTCATTTTTGAAAAAAATATTGTATTTGCATACCAATTTTCCTAAAATTATCTGTAATTTTTCGGTAAAAGTATGCACTACTTGTATAAAAGACCTTATATTAAATTTTCTAGTCTCAGCTTATACAAATTTAATACCTATTTTATAAGTGTGGTTTTGTCAAAATTTGAACTTTAAATGCTTATAAAAAATAACCATGATGTCTATATATCGTTAATATTTTAGCTATAATAAAAACTTAAGTACCTATTATATTTTTAAGCCTACTATAAATATTTTTTTATTGACATTTATAGAAAAAATTTTAATTAATCAAATACAATCCAAGTGAGGCTGTATAACTAAGCTGGTTGCCAAACAATTTTAATAAATTTTCATTTTTTTTTCTCCTTATATTTTAAAAAGCACTGAGCATTTTCAATTTCAACCTCCTAAAAGTACCAACTAGATCCAATTTGCTTCCAAAAACATACATCGGGCATCAAAGCTTATGTTCAGAGCATTTTTTCTGCCAGAAAAGTTGAAAAGTTACAAAAATTTATAATACCTCAAATTAACATCTGAAGTCATTAGACTGGACAAAATAAAAATTACTGATTTTCAAGCCCCCCCCCTCCCACTGAAAAATCCTGCTTACGCCACTCAGCTATCACTAACCTGTGGTAATTTTTTTCATAGGATTTTCTTCGGCTGGATTAGTAAACGATGACAGCAAGTCTTGAGTGCTTCGAATAGAATCGATTGGTACTGTAGTTTTCCTTTTACTAAACCTACTAGTTTTTAACCAATGATCCATAGTCGAAAATATTATAAAATATCAAAAAATAATAATTATGCGAAACCACTGAAGATTTTTATGTACGTCGTATGTGACACGGACACACTGAAAGCAAGCGAGTGACTAATTATTAGAATAGATTTCGATATCAAACTAACAGAGAGTGTTGTATATGAAATATCTGTATGTAAGATAAAATTGGTTAATGGATTTTTAATAGAAAAATTATTGACTATGTATTAAACAACGTTACGTAACCCGATTAGATAAGATACAGTGTCCTGTGCCACATTATTAAATATTTCACAAATTACAAACCATTTAAAATACACCAATTTTAATTTTTTCCGCCATTACACTTTTTTTTCACGTACCACCTCATACCTTCTTACGTACCCTTACTGTCCTCTAGTTAATCACTTCTAAATACGCGTACCACGGGTTGAGAAACGCTGATCTATAGTATGAAGCTAGAAAATATATTTCGGAAATTCTATTAATGAACATTAATTGAATAGTGATACTTATATATCTATTAATAGGGGCTTTATAACAAATATTGAAACAATTGTTGATTTCCTTCTCAAAACAAACTGCATTTAGATTTCATAATGTATTTTAATTATTATTATTAACCTCATTCCTCATCATGACTTATTCAATTTAATTGTTAATTACAATCCAAATTTGCTATTTCACATTTTTAGTTTTTTTTTATCAGGAAGGCCACTATTTTGTTTCATACACTTTCATTCGGTTAATCGTTAATGTATAGTAAGTAGAAAATAAATTAATAATATTATGTTACAAATTTTAAATTTAAATATGTAAAAAAGTCGTCAAAATTTCATTTTTTTAACTATAAGGTCTATCACTAGCTCCAGTTCAATCTATGACTATTTTAAGTACTTAATTGTTTTAAGAGGACGCCTCATCCGCATATGTTGCCCCCATCTTACAAGTGCGTAAGCGTAACATAGCAAATTGTACGCTTAGCAGAACACGTGTAGCTCCTTTAGTTTAAAAATTATAGTGAATTTACCTCTTATAAAATTTAAATGTAAGATTATTATCTAGGCAATCTCATAGGGTTTTATTGTATTTTAATTTTAAAGTGAGTTATGAGTATTTTAAAAGTGTAAATTGTATATCTGTATAATTTGTACATCTTAAAATACTCATAACTCGCTTAAAACTAAAATATAATAAAAACCCACGAGATTGCCTAGATAATAATCTTACCTTTAAATTTTATAAAAGGTCAATTCACTCTACTTTTTAAACTAAAGGAGCTACACGTGTTCTGCTGAGGGTACAATTTTCTATGTTACGCACTTGTAAGACGGAGACAACATATGCGGGTGAGGCGTCCTCTTAAGTCGTTTGTTCCAAAACGTACTATTGCCTCAGATATCTAGCTGTATATAGTACCTAAAACCTATAGTTTATTAAAATAAATGTTTTACTTTTAGAACGTTGTGCCAAAAGTAGGAGCACCTAACGGTCAGGAATATCCATCAAGGCGTGTACAAATAGGCATCATCATATATTCAATAGACTGAAAACTGTTGATTCAAACCCTGCGATATGGATAGAGATCTCGAAATAGCTGATACAAAGCAAAGGATTTTAAATACGTTTAAATACTATACACAAGGACCTAGTGTGCCGAGTGACGGTAACTGTGGATTGCATGCAATATGTAAAGCGTTAGGTGATGGATTGTGCATGGCAGGAAGAAATATCAAGCCGAACTCGTTAATGCTCAAAATATGTTATATGTTCGGCCTGGAAAATCTGCCAAACTACTGGTGGTCGGACGAGGAATTAGCGGTAATCGCTAATGATTATGGATACGACATGTACATATACAACGAAACGGACTCGAACAGCAGCATAGTGTTTGGCAAGGGCATCCGACCACCACTGGTTTTGTACAGCATAAACAACAACTCGCATTGGATACCAGGCATGAGGACAACGGTACCGTCAAAATGTATACCAGAAAACTTCACCATTGTCGAGAACATAACCGAAGTGTTGACCATAAGGCAAATTAAGATCAAAATTAAATTTCATTTGATGCAGTCCTTGAACCCCAGTGGAGGATCTATCGAAAGTTACAGTGGAAGGCGCTACGGAAGCCGAAGTAGTAGCAATGGAAGACAAAGTAGTAGAAGACACAACGGAAGTCACAGTGGAGGACGTGGTGAAGGGCGAGATGGAAGCCACCATGGAAGAAATAACGTGAGCAGCAATAAAAAACGCGACGAAAGTCGCAGTGGAGAACGTGATGGAGTACGAATAATTATAGAACAAGATGGACGCCGTCCACAATTGGTAAAAGGCTTATGGTTTAGTAGAAGTAAAGGAAGCCACAGTGCAGTCGAAAAAGGAAAGTCGCAATGGAAGACAAATAATAAGCTACAGCGCAGGGGAAATAAAAGCAAAAAATGAAGGGAAAATAGAAGCCATAGTGGCGAAGAAAAAGGAAGCAACATTGGAGGAGAAAAAAGCATTAGTCGAAAAAAAGTGATGAATGTTGGTGCCGTATTCATCGACGGTTAACGGCGAATGCAGTTATGGTATGGCTTGCGGTCAAGCTGGAGTTCAGCCTGTACGCAAAACTAAAGAACACGGTGCTAGCAAGGACGATAAGAACAGCTGTACCATTGGAACTGGAACAAGCAAAATAAATACAAGAAACTGGACTATTGACACCGAAGACGAAGATGAAGACTCCGAATATACAGAACTCAACGCCATGTGCAAAGCTCGTTACACGATTATGCGGGACGTGTTACACCAATTTGTCTCAAAAAAAGAGCGTAAGCTATTGGTGTTAGAAGCATGTGATGCCTTGGCGGCACTTCAGTCTCTTGAAGCGACCATGATTCAGTTAGAACCCATCAAGTGTTCAGAGCTCGAACCAGTCGAGGTCGAGTGTCATATGGAGGATGTCAACTGTTGTCAGATAGCGGCCGTTGAATATGGTCCGATAGCGACCGTTGATCGCAGCTCAACCGGGGCCATTGACAGCTGTTCAAATGTGTACTTCGACTGTCAAATGTCCGATTGCAGACTCATATCAACCAAATGCCCATGCAACATCGACGACTGTCCATTAACATCACCCGAGTATCCATTTAGTGACCAGTGGTTCAACGACAAATATGCCAACGATTTAGTTGACAGTTATACATTAGAACGGAAGAAAATCAAGGGCACTCGATTGTTTGATCGCGTTTACAACCAGGCGGTGGAGATGAGCAACGACATCATAGGACGCTGCATGGTCAAGCCAAAACAGTTGGTGAATGCTCCTCCGGCAGTGGCTTCAGTATTAGTGGCTCCAGCGGTGGCGGCTTCAATGGTGGCAGCTTCAGTGGTCGCGTCTCCGGCAATGGCAGCTTGGATAGTGGCGGCTCCAGGGTTGTCATCTTCGGTGATGCAGGTGGCCCAAGCGGTGGCGGCTCCGGCGATGGTTGATCTGATGATGGTGGTTCCAGTGGTGGCTGCTCCGACAATGGCTGTAGAGGTGGCTCCATTGGGCAACGATTTGGTGGCGGTTCCAGTGGACAACGAGCTTCTAGCGACTCCGACGGAGGATAATCTAACAATGACTTCGGCGGGTAACGATTCGGTGGTGAAGCCAAATGCATGCGCGTCAACGATATTTCTCCCTCAAACAGATCTGGAAGAAACAAACGAAAACTCAACACTCCAAAGACAATTAAATTAACAGAAGGTAGGTACCTATACGCGCGTAGGATGACATTATTATACACATAACACATTATAACACACAATGTACCTTATGTAAATGTAGATTATTTAATCAATAAGTTAACTATAATAAGTATACGCGTGATTATTATAATAATTACAAATTATCAAGATTACACCTAAAATATTTTACTGGGTTCTATATAATATATTCAAGCGAAAATTCTAAAACAATATGAATATAAATTCATACCATTTCAATTAATATTTTTAAATCGAATTGTGGGTGATTCCTACGCATCTCATTAGGCATATGATATTTCATTCATTATCACTAGGCTCGGATTTAAATGTTCATTTATGACTTTAACATTCTAAAAAGTGCCCATTCAAAAAATAAATTTATTATGTAAAATTGCAAAAGTAAATTTATAAAGATAAAAAAAACTAGTAAATAATTACATTTGTATTACACTTTACAATGATAATTAAATTTGACCTGAAGATTACCTGATATTATACATAGTTCAAAATGAAAAATATTTATATTACGCTAAGTACTATATTTATATTTCAATTAAGTCAATTTTTAGTCATAAAATCATAATAGAGAAATCTGTTTAAAAATGTCTTAAAAAATTAAAAAATGCATTATAAAAATCAAAATTGAACAAAAAAAAATATAAAAACCGAATAGTATACAATTATAAATTTGTTGTTACAACATGGAGTACTTGAAACATATTTGTAGCTCTGGAAGCCTCGAGTAAGACATTCCAAAAAAAAGATGCAAATGCATTGAAATCCGAGCAATAGTTATCACTAAATTTATTCAACAAACGTGTTTTCATATTTCTATAAGAATATTAAAATTTCCTAATCAATTTTTTAATACTTTGATTTGAATGTTTTTTTATTTTTTTTTTATTCATCGGGTAATGTTACTAAAAAAACGTTAAAAATGTCTATAAGGCAATATTCTCAAGTTTGTGATATTTATATGGAGAGCATAAATTAGTCAGTGTCGCAATAGTGTCTCAAATTAAATTTTGGCTTCAAGGTTATAAATCTATACAAAAGCTTGTGAACTTAAAATCGTGACTGTAAAAATATATAGGTAATTTATCGAATTGGCAGGGCCAATTACCTTGCATGGTAATTATTGCGACACCGATATTGACTACAATATTCTAAAAATTATGTTTAATACATTTTTTTTCGATATTTTAAACATATTTGAAAATATAAACTTTAATAATTTAAATTTGAAACAATTCATTATTGATTATTTCTAAAAAACATAATATAATATTTGAGTTGGACTTATAGGGTATGTAAATGATACTACTAACCTAGAAGAAGTTCGGATAAAGGGTTTAATGATTGATTGGGGGCTGTGAAATTTAGTAAGAAATGTTTATTAATATGTTTAATATTATAAAATTTAAAATAATGTTATATTTAATTATTTAAAACTATATTATTATTATTATTCGTTTATCAAATATATATATTACGTATTATATGTACCTATTATATTTATGAATTTTATGTAGGTGTTGTTAAATACCTACCATATACAAATAACTTATAAGATACCTATTGTATAATAAGTTGAAACGCATTTCTTTATATTATTATTACAATCAATTTTATGCCATTGTACCTACTTAGGCACTTATCAGGCCCATCAGGAAAATCAAGAATGTTAGCAATACCTATGTACATTTCAGGACAGAACTCCACAAATGTCAGACAATATTTCTGATTTCATAGTACCTACTTAATTATATATATATACCTTCTCGCGTTGTCATTTATAGAATTGTGATATAATATGGTTCTCATAATATGATGCATTTTACAAAATAAGACCATTAACAAATATAATTAAAAATTAGCCGAATCATAGTAATGTCACAAGAATAAATGGTGGAGCAATATGCGGAGGAGATAGGTATACCTACATAAGGAGACATTTTAATTTCAATAAATGTATATTATATAACAAATTTATATGCCTATTATGATATAATAAGCGCGTGTTCAATTAAATGCACCTACCTATAGAAATGCAATGAAAACAATTGAAGGCCCGGGGCGGTGCAAAAACCAGATACGTCAATTTTTCATAATGTTCAGGAAACACAAAAAACTATCTATAAAATTGGGAAATGAACCAAAAATTAAAAACGTGCTGTTAGTCTTTTTGTAAGATTAAGATACATGACTTAAACAAGTTCTCTTTGGTTTGAATTTAATATCCATAAAAATATTTATAAAAAACTAAAAAATTATGATAATTAGATTTTCAATGGTCGCAATAACCAGATACGTCCAATTTGTTTTTGGGACGTATCAGGTTATTGCAACCAACTAATCAACAAAATATTTTACAAACAATACTTAATGATCACCAAAAAGCTGTACCAGAAGACTCCAACAAACAATAAAATTTATAAAAAAAAAAAAAAATACAACTTAATACTTTACTTTACTTATATTTTATGCTATGAAAAAAAAAAACTCTTTTTATGTGTTATTGCAATCAATGAAAGATCAAAATGTATATGGAAGTGTCGGGCGCAAAAAAAAATGGATATATACTATTTCAATGAATACGTCCAGACGTATCTGGTTATTGCATCCAACAGAAATTAAAAAATCAATTTTTATCATTTTATTTCAATACTATTCATCGGACGTATTCGGTTTTGCACCCATCGATAGAGATTTTTTTTCTGGATTTTTCTATAACAAAAAACGATTTTTGAAAAATGTGGACGTATCCGGTTTTTGCACCGAGGCCTTCAATTTTGATTTCAAGTGCAAGAGACAGCTAGTTTCAAGTCAATAGAGTAAGAAACAAATATAGGTACCTACTAACTAAATAGTGATGGGCTACAATATCGATATTTCAGTAAATTCATGACAAATTTTCGATATCGATATTAATATATCCTATATGGCTATATCGGATTCGGGAATTATTGTACTTAACAAGTTTTTTTTCTTATCGTCAATTAGCAATGTAAAGCAAATTTTTGGATTCATGAATCAATATTTATATTTACTTATTTATATTAATTATTAATTTATTAATAAGTAATAACTAATGAGTACTAAGTCGTTAATATTTAAAATTATTTAAAAATATTTTCTGTACTATATCACGATACAATATCGGCAAAATCGGAACGGTATCGGATACACAAAATTATATCGTTTCCCATCACTACTACAGTACCTACTACTATCTATATATTATAGGTGCGAAATACCAACAAAAAACTTCAATACCTATCTCCATACGTATTACCTGTATTTAATATATTATTACACTGGCATATTAATTGTAATCGGAAACTCCAATTTGGCTAACTAGGTAGTTTATAGGTACATACGTACATACCTAAATTTATAATAAACATATGTGATTTCTCGGTGAGCATCAGTATAGGTACATTGTGTCATCGTAGGTATATATATTATTAATTATTATCAACCTAATAGGTATTTACTGCACAATTATTTATCGATATTCGTCTACCTATTAAAACAAAGGACATTATATTGTTCAAAAAGTTTAAAATTTATTTAAGGTTCTATTGGATACATTAAAATATTATATGGGTACCTACCATTTTCAGTCATAATAATTATCTGTGTTTTGTCTGCGATTATTTTAATTATTTCAATTATAATATAATAATAAGATGTAGTCTAGTGTTAATATAGTTAGCCATAATTTATATAATCTATATAAATCATAAGATACGATATTGGAAAAATATTTTTAACTATACAATTTGAATTGTTAATTTTTTTTTTCCTAGTCATGGTTTAAGTTTTTGTTCCCTAGGAGGGGACTAAATATTAACAATATTATGTTCTTCTTGAAAATATTGAGTTGGGAGGAGGTGGCTTCTCCTTATCATTTGATACCACATTACCTCCCGGCTACCACACAATTTTCTAATAATTTATATTTTAAATTTAACAATCGTTATTATTTACCTACCTCATCGTGCCAGATTTTTAATTTTATACCTACATAATGGCATGATAAAACGTAACTCAAGGATTTTCTAATTAAAAATAAAATAAATTTGTTTTCTTTTCAAACAAGTTTCAACGCAAAACAGTGCGAGAAGAAAACTCATTTAAAGTGATTTAAGGTACCATAAATTATTGAGGTGCTAGTGATATTACCAATTAATTTATATGCCGTCCTAAAAAACGAGGTGCTATTTTGATCGCTAATTTCATAAAGTTTCTAATTTAACGATAGTAGAGACGGGACAATTTTTATATATATAATTTGTATATATACGTGTAGGCGTAGGTATTGCTAAAAATACCTACTACCTAAACACAAACCCATATTCTTTTACTTCTAAAATGTGTATTGGAAAAACAATCATAACTTTATGTTATTTTTGTTCAGTTATTAGGTAGGTACTTACTATAAAGCCCTAGGTAGAAATAGTAAAACCACTTTGGTTGTAGCAATATTATAAACGTTTATTCTATATCAAACTTTAAACTCGGTATATATTCATCAATTTTAATATTTTCAACACAAATTACTCATTATGGGTATCGTATATTATACTAATGTATTAATATTTGAAACTAGGAAAGTTCAAAATATTAGAAAGGTACCCCCCACACCATAATTTCATCGATTTCGAAGACAATTAAATATGAATTGCCTAATTATAATTTTAATGAACCATAATATACCTGTAGTATTGAAAAATGATAAAATAAGACATTTCTTAATTATCATTGTAATATTGTAACTATTGGACAACTTTTAAAATTTATATTGTTATAGTGACAATGAACCAGGTAGGTACCCTAATTATCGGGCCTATACCTGCTGACTCAAAATTTCCAATTCACATTAATGCAAAAAGTAAAAAAGAGTATGGGAAAATATTAAATCCTGTCTCTACTAATTATAAGTAATAATACAATGAATTATCATGCTCATTCCACAAAATATTTTTT